GGGGGGGGGAATTTGCCCGGAAGCCGGTCCATCCTTGCTGCTTGACACAGTCGCTGCAGGGAAAGAAACATTCTGCACAGCATATGTTTCAAGGGACCCTGGCGTATTATGGCATACTGGTTCTTAAATATGTTTGCTCACCCTTCTTGGCTCTATGTAGTTTTAACCAAAGGTCCACCCTCTCCGAAGGTTGTTTCCCCAAGGTAGGGATTTTTCCCTGAAAGTTAGGGGAGGGAATAAAACCTCTTAACTAAATGCCAGGAGGGTAGTTAATCACTTTAACTACAAACAATCACCCTTAAGCCACATAATCTTTACTCCCTGGAATGGAGATAAGAAACGCCCTAACCTTTGGAATAGAAATTGACAGGATTAAAATCAACTGGTATAAATACAGATGTAACAAGACCATAAAAAACAGAACTTGGCTGGAGAGCCTGGGCAGAACCTGGTGAGAGAACCTCGCTATGTTGATCAACTGAACCCTGTCTCCGTGTCATTCCTTCTTCGCCGACTCCGTCCACATCTTTAGGGACCCCTGGACCTGCTGGGGTTGGACCCCAACAGCCTGCAAAGTCGGAGGCCCGCCATGGCCCAGAAGAGAGCCCTGCCGCAGAGCAAGGAGACCCTGCTGCAGTCCTACCACAAGCGGCTCAAGGACGACATCAAGTCAATGATGGACAACTTCACCGAGATCATCAAGACCGCCAAGATTGAGGATGAGACCCAGGTGTCCAGGGCCACCCAAGGCGAGCAGGACAATTACGAGATTCACGTGCGAGCCTCCAACATCGTCAGAGCTGGTGAGTCCCTGATGAAGCTGGTCTCTGACCTCAAGCAGTTCCTGATCCTGAACGACTTCCCCTCAGTGAACCAGGCCATCGACCAGCGCAACCAGCAGCTCCAGGCGCTGCAGGAGGAGTGCGACAGCAAGCTCACCGCCCTGCGGGATGAGGTCTCCATCGACCTCTACCAGCTGGAGGAGGCGTACTACTCGTCCAGCTCCAGTCTCCGCGAAGCTAACGATCTGCCTCTGTGCGAAGCGTATTGGAGGCTAGACCTCGACACAGACGCTGCCGATAGCCTCGCGGCCCCCCTGCGGGTCTCCCCAGAGCCCAGCGCTGGCCCCCTGCAGCCCGCCGCCCCTGCCTACTCCCACGCTAGCGGGCCTGGCCCCACAGAGCATGCCTGAGCCTTTCCGCTCTCTCCACCAGCCCCTGGGATCTTAGCAACAAATTCTGGCGCCCCGCTCGGCCTTGGCTGCTGCTGGGGAGCGGCTGTGGCCTCCTTGGAAACCCCGTTGGCCAGGGACAGCCCCCCAGGAGTGTGGAGGGAGAGTAGATCCCCCCATTTCCAGAGTGGCCCACTCTTCCTCCAGGCACCTCTGGTTCACTACCTTCCGGGCTGCTGCTGGGACCTGAGCCTGCTGTTTAACGTGGGGAGGGGCGCTGGGTGGGTGGGCAGTCCTGGCCAAGTCCACACCAGGCCCCTGTGCAGCCACCCTGCCGCCTCGCCCAGGGGCCCCTGCAGAACTGGGGCTGGGGGTGTGGTTCACACAGGAGCTGGCGCGGGCTCCTTCCTGGTTCTGCGGTACATATCCTGGTTGTTCATTTGTGTGCGAGATGGTTGAATAAAGACAATTTATTATTGGTAACCATTTTATTTTTTATTTTTTATGTTTCAGATACACAAGAAATAATTTTTAAAGCATAAGCATGTCTCATAAAATATTTAGGACTTACTGAAATTACTTTATTTTAATTTGAAATTCATTTTATATGACCATCCTGTGCATGGGATGGTGACTCCAGCTGTTTTATTTTGTTTTTAAAGGCATGTACAATTTCAAATGTCCAGAGGGATTGGGACCATCCAAAGAGTATAACTGGGTTATACGTAGATTCATCTATTTATTTTTTAGTGTTAATTAATTGGTACACTAGACTATTCTACAAGTTTTGCCCTGATTCTAAAAGGCAATCACTGTGAGCCAAACACAGAGACACTGAGTTATTTATTTTTCAGTCTTTATCATGGGTAAGAGCTAAGTGATGATTTCATTATATGATTTCTGTTGTCTTATTAGATGACACTCTAATCCCAGCTCTTAAAAAGCAGCTTAGGGTAAACCTTGGTGACCCTAGAACAGGGGTGGGCAAACTTTTTGACTTGAGGGCCACAATGGGTTCTTAAACTGGACCGGAGGGCCGGAACAAAAGCATGGATGGAGTGTTTGTGTGAACTAATATAAATTCAAAGTAAACATCCTATCTAATAAAAGAGAAACATGGTAATTAGCATACAACCGCTATCCTTCCCATTGGCTAATCAGGACGATATGCAAATCAACTGCCAGCCAAGATGGCGGCCGGCAGCCAGGCAGCTGGAAGCGAACATGAGGCTTGCTTGCTCCAATGAAGGAGGACTCCAACGTTCCCCGCCTGCCTTGCCGGCCTCTGAGCTGGCAGTTTGAAACATTGTAACAAATATAGAAGCTAAACAAAACCCCAGAAACCAGCTTTCAGCCCGCCGGGATCTCAGAGCTGGAGATGATACAGTGTTTCGATTATAGAACCGAAACAAACCAGATACCTGCTTTCAGCAGCAGAGGCCTTGGCCCAGAATAAAAAAGAAAAAGAAAAAAAGGAGTGGTTGGGAGCTTCAGTCACCCACCAGCCTGAAAACAGCTCTCAGCCCCTCACCCAGACTGGCCAGGCACCCCAGTGGGGACCCCCACCCTGAAGGGGTTGTGACCAGCTGCAAACAGCCATCATCCCCTCATCCAGGCTGGCCAGGCACCCCAGTGGGGACCCCCATCCTGATCCAGGACACCCTTCAGGGCAAACCAGCCAGCCCCCATCCATGCACCAGGCCTCTATCCTATATAGTAAAAGGGTAATATGCCTCCCGGCACTGGGATCAGCATGACAGGGGGCAGCGCCCAAACCCCCTGATCGCCCTGCGGCTCTGTGTGTGACAGGGGGCGGGGCCACAACCTCCCTATCCGCCCTGCTCTGTTCATGACAGGGGAAGGCGCCCCAACCCCCTGATCAGCCCTGCTCTGTGCCTGATGGGGGGAGCTCCCCAACCCCCTGATCGCCCTGCGGCTCTGTGCGTGACAGGGTGCAGCGCCCCAACCCTCCCCCCCGACGGGCCCTGCTCTGTGTGTGACGGGGGTAGAGCCATAACCTCCCCATTGGCCCTGCCCTGAGTGTGAGAGTGGCGGCGCCCCAACCCCCTGATCGGTCCGGCTCTGTTGGTGATAGAGGGCAGCGCCCCCAACCCTCTGATCTGCCCTGCTCTGTGTGTGACAGGGGGCGGGTGCCCCAACTCTCCTATCGGCCCTACTCTGTGCGTGACAGGGGGGAGCTCCCCAACCCCCTGATCGACCCTGCTCTGTGCATGACAGGGTACGGAGCCCCAACCCCCCTGATGGGCCCTGCTCTGTGCGTGAGAGGGGGCAGCACCCCAACCCCCTGATTGGCCCTGCTCTGTGCGTGACAGGGGGTGGCGCCGCAACCTCCCCATCGACCCTGCCTTGAGTGTGATAGGGGGTGGTGCCCCAACCCCCCAATCGGCCCTACCCTGAGCGTGACTGAGGGTGGCATCACAACCTCCCAATCGCCCTGCTCTGTGCATGACGGGGCGGCGCCCCAACTCCCCAATCGGCCCTGCTCTGAGCCTGACCAGGGGCTGCACCTAGGGATTGGGCCTGCCCTCTGCCACCCGGGAGCAGGCCTAAGCCAGCAGGTCGTTATCTCCCGAGGGGTCCCAGACTGCGAGAGGGCACAGGCCGGGCTGAGGGACCCCCTTCCCCCCCCCCCGAGTGCACAAATTTTTGTGCACCGGGCCTCTAGTCATTACATAAAAGGGTACGGTCTTTTTTTTTTTTTTTTAGTTTTATTCATTTCAAACCGGCCGGATCCGGCCCACGGGCCGTAGTTTGCCCACGGCTGCCCTAGAAGATAGTAAATTATATTGGAATGAATAATAGACTGAAAATCAAGAGCTCTGTGTGTAACTTGGCTCTCCCACTGATGTTTGACTAATATTTATATAGTAAATTACCTGCTTGATGTATTTTTGGAAGTCCTACAGGCATCCAAACTTCATAAAATATAAATGTCCACCATTTATGCTTTTGCTCTTAAATATGCTTCTTTTTTCCCCTATGTACCACCCTCTACCTAATCGTTCAAATAAAAATATTAAATCCTATCGACAAAAAAAAAATTCTCCCAAAGACCTGATGACTACACTATAAATTTAAATTTGAATTAATACTAATACTTCACAGATTGTTCCAAAAAGTAGAATGTGAGGTAACACTTCCCAACTCATTCTATGAGGCCAGTATTAACCTGCGACTAAAACTACACAAAGACCTCTAAAGGAAAAAAGAAAACTACAGAGCAATACTCCTTACACACATTCCTTAAGAAAATACTAGGATACCTAATCCAGCAGCATGTAAAAAGGATTATATACCATGACCAAGTAAGAGTTATCCCAAGAAGGCAAGATGTGTTGTCAACATTATGCTTACAGGCAGGGGAGATACCATGGTCACAAAGGTGGTTTTTCCGGGGCCAGGCTTATGCACTGCACCCTGGATATGCTGACCCCTATGATTTCCTTAAACGTGGGAAACTCGACTGCATAATTTGTGGTAGTGGGGGACTGTGTTCGTGCTCTCCTCTGGGGGAAGAAAAGAGTTAAAATTATAAAACTCTTATAAGAAAACATAAGTGGATGCCCCTAGCCGGTTTGGCTCAGTGGATAGAGAGTTGGCCTGTGGATGAAATGGTCCCAGGTTCGATTCAGGCCAAGGGCACATGCCCGGGTTGCGGGCGGGATCTCTTCCTAGTAGGGGGCGTGCAGGAGGCAGCCAATCAATGATTCTCTCATCATTGATGTTTCCCTCTCCCTTCCTCTCTGAAATCAATAAAAACATATTTTAAAAAAAGAAAACAGCCCTAACCGGTTTGGCTCAGTGGATAGAGCATTGGCCTGTGGACTCAGGGGTCCCAGGTTCGATTCTGGTCAAGGGCATGTACCTTGGTTGCAGGCACATACCCAGTGGGGAGTGTGCAGGAGGCAGCTGATCGATGATTCTCTCTCATCAATGTTTCTAACTCTCTATCCCTCTCAATTCCTCTCTGTAAAGAATCAATAAAATATATTTTTTTTAAAAGAAAAGAAAACATAAGTGAAAATCTTTGTGACCTTACATTAGGTCTCTTAGATATGGTCCCTTAGATATGACACAAAAGCACAAGTAATAAAAAAGGATAAAGTGGACTGCATTACAAATGAAAACTTTTATGCACCAAAATATACTATCAAGAAAGTTAAAAGATAACACTTAGAATGGGAGAAAATATTTACAAATTATAAATCTGATAGGAGTCTAGTATCCAGAATATATAAAGAACTTTCACAACTCAACAATAAAAAGAAAAACAACCAAATGAAAAACAAACATAGGATTAAATAGACATTTCTCCAAAGAAGACATATAAATGACCAATAATCAAATGAAAAAATACTCAACATCATTAATCACTGGGAAAATACAAATCAAACTCACTAGCATAGCTAATAATTAAAAACACAGAGCCCTAGCTGGTTTGGCTCAGTGGATAGAGCATCGGCCTGCAAACCGAAAGGTCCCAGGTTTGATTCCAGTCAAAGGCATGTACCTCAGTTGCAGGGGCCCTGGTGGGGGAGCGTGCAGGAGGCAACCAATCGATGTGTTTCTCTCACATTTATATTTCTGTCTTTCCCTCTCTCTTCCACCCTCTCTAAAAGTCAATGGAAAAATATCCTCGGGTCAGGATTAAAAATAAATAAATAAAATAAAAACAGAAAAAAAAACAAGTATTAAAGTAGATGTGGAGCACTTTGAACCATCAGACATTGCTGTCGGGAATACAAAACGGTGCAACCGCTTTGAAAATCAGTTTTTTTCTTCACAATGTTAAACATATGGCTGTCATATGACTCAGCAATTCCACTTCTAGGTATACACCCAAGAGAATTGAAAACATATGTCCACACAAAAATGTGTACAGAAATGTTCACAGGAGCATTATTCTTGTGATGAAAATTTTTGGAAATTATAATGGTGATGGTTGTGCAATATTGTGAAAGTAGTTAATGCCATTGAATTGTGCACTTAAACTGGTTAAA